CGTTGTAAAACAAGCCAATTCACTTCGTCAACTCGGCAACCAGGTTACCTTTCTTTTTTTTTTGCCTCCGTTTTGTTTTTCGCGGTCACCATAATGGTGGTCGAGTAGATCATGTTGTGCGGGGTGGAGAACCCTCACTCCGCGCAAGGGGGATGATCGCACCACGTTGTGTTAAAATGGTCAAGCACCCTCCAGGCAGTTTCACAGTGCTTACAACTGTCGCTGGAAGTGAAAGCACCAGAAAAAAAATTAAGTCATACGCAGCTGTCATCCGTACGCAAGGAAGTAAGCACAAGATGCCGAACACCCTTAGCAGGATGCAGCGCACCCTTCATGCGGCTCGCCGAATATCTCACGGCGTTTCGCGCGTGGTGATGTGAGAGCCTGGTCCGGTGAGAACCCGGCGTGGTTCTTCCCGGCTTTGTAGGGATGCGAGGTCAATGGTCTAACGACTACGGCATGCACGACTATGAGTACCCCCCCCCCCCCTCCCCGATCCTATCCGTCGTGCTGCCCGTCCACCGTTGCCCGTCCATCCAGGCCGTGCGCAAGTTGGATGAGAAGACGGCGAAGGTGATTCCCGCGGCTTCTTGACCCATTAGCCGCTTGTAGCCAGCTTGTTAGCGTCTGTCATCAACGATGATCAAGTCGGGTCTGTTTTCACTGCAGCTCCAAGTGCAGGAGGGATTAGATAGTGCCCGGACTTGTGCATCCATTCCTCTCTCTGTTGGTGGCCCAGTATCCTATTCTGGCTTGCTCTTTATTCCGTGGGCGTGCTATCTAGGGTATTGATCGTTCCGGATCCTTTGACGCGGCGCCAGACGGTATGACCTCTGTCGCTCTTGAACAAGTGTAGTCTATGGCTTGCGTTTCTATCCGCACATGGCCAAACTACCGCGTTTCTCATACCGTGCATTCTGTCGAACATCCTTGTTTCTCTTGTCTACCCCGCCCCCTTTGTTGCTGCGATTGCTTTTTTGCTCTGTGCTGTCGTCTGTCTTTCTCGCTGGACGCCTCAGTTGCACCTGCTGTTCGGCGTGCTCATGACTGCTGGAACCCTGCTCTTCTAATCCCCAACCGCAAAGGGGCACCGCAAAATGGAGATGCTTCGAGCGTACGCTACCCCCCCCCCCC